GTGACAACACTACACCTTCTGGGCTAACAGCTGGGACCTTTTAGATGCCTATCATGTGGTAAGTCCGAAATGTGAGAGATCCACCTCTCAGAAAAACAGCTCTTCCACTCAGGTAAATCTGAGCACTGCTTTACAGACTGTTCCCTACGTCCCATGGTACTTCTTCAAACTAAAGAACAAGGGACAGCACTTACTGCACAGCACACAGAAATCCCCTCACCTAAGGCATGCATTAAGGGATTTGACTGATTAGTATAAACGTGTATTTTTTGAACTTTGTTTCAAGTAACAAAACAAAGATCCACTGTGATCCATAACAAGACATTTAATTTCTTTATTGTACAAAAATAGCTATAAACCTGCTTGATTTCAGTTTCTTTGTTTTATCTACACTCCACTGATTTCCTTACAAATTGTTTTGAAACCATAGCCTCTTCTGATGCTAATTGAGTGCTCACTTTTGCTTACTCTTTAAAAAGTCTTACTCTCTGGGGAAGCAATTTTTATATACAAATCACATAAAGCTACAGACTGTATGCTGGAGATGATTAAGAGAGGGCAGGGTTAAATTATATCTAAAGAAAGCCACAGATGTCAGCCAAATTATTTCTATACATTCTTAAATGAGCATGAGCAAGCATATGCAAGCCATTAGTATCTTAAAGAAACTGATTATTTTTATATCTATGCAGACTGTAGTTCTCAAACTGAAGCAACTGCTACAATGGGTTGGACAAAGTTCATTCACAGAACAAAAGTACAGCAACTTTTATCAGAACTGCTGGATCTTGTAAACAGAGTTCCATTCTTTCAGTTATCTGCTGCTATCCAAGACAGTACGTCTGAGGTGCCCTTCCAGGCAAAACTATGCCTGAAAATAAATGTACAAATAAAACTTTCCTTTGCCAAAACTTACTATTCCTTTTCCCCTAAAAAAAGTGAGCCCACCAAAAAAACTACCCAGCCACCTAGAATGGCAATTCCCAAATAAGCCACATCCTAAGCAAGGAAGAAGCCACACGATGCACGTGGCTGCAGAACCACCCAACAGAGTGAGGCAGTGGCGACTCCAGTATCACTGGTCAGAGAGGAAGAAACTCTTGGAAAGGAACCTCTGGACAAAGAGAGCCCATGGAAAACAGCTGATGCGTCCACAGGGGACAGCCACTTCCCAAACCCAGCACCCTTCTCTGGAGGCATGAAGTAAGAACACAGATCAGGGCAATTTTGTAACTATAATGTAGGCAGACTTGAAAAAAAATAAATCCTCACGTTCCATTCCCATCACATTCCTGAAGACACTAGCATAAGTGGAAAGTCTCTCACATGGTGACCTGAACAGTAAAGAGAAAGAGAAATGCCAGAAATGGCAAATTTTCATAACAGGAGACAGACAATTGTGGGTCCCAGAGAATTTCTGCTGCCTAATTACTCCTTAACTGTGGAGGAAAAGAGGCAAACAAGGGGAGTGGAAAGGGTGTCAGCCTACAGATAACTCAGTCACAAAAGTTTGCCTAGAGTCTGAGCACAAAGTCAGTCTTTGTTTAATGAAGTGAGGACTTTGCAAAACTGAAGTTCTGGGAGATTAAATGGAAATTAAAATTTGTATCACATGGTGAAAATTAGTCCCAGCTATTCCTACACAACGATGAGCCATAAGGCAAGTTTGATTTTGAAATGATTTGCTCAAAATATCTGCTAAAAACACAAATGTTAGAAGTTACAAAAAAAAAAAAAAGAAGAGAGTGGAGACTCTGGATTAAACCACCCTGCATTCATAGTTCTGATACTCTGTAGGTCAAATGTACCTAAAAAAATAAAAAAATAAACAAGAAACAAGAGGATAATGTACTGAAAATAGTTCCAAGGACTTCCACAGATGAAAGTGCCCTCAACTTGGAAAGATCTGCTGAAGAGGTGGGGGGGGGGAAGAAGCAGCAAATTTGATCAAAATCTGCAAGACAAATTGTGCAGAAAGTGTAAGGAGGAAACATTCTTCCCCCTCCCATGAAACTATCAGCCAGGCAAAAAGGAAGTAATTTTTTCTCCATACCATCTAACACTCTATAGAACTCCTGATGCCATAAAGGTCAAAAGAATAAAAGGGTTCAAAACGGACAAGGTGTGCTCATGGGCACGCCAGGGGCTAATAAACACAGTAAGTCAGACACAACCATTAGCTCTGGAAATCTTTTAAATACAGATGGATCATTCCAAGATACACATCCACCACCTTCTAGGACACACAACCCAAGTTTCTTATCCTTCCACAAGGATCTGCTACTGGCCAGTAACAGGATACTGGGTTAGGTCGATATTTCACTGAGCCAAAATGGCACTTCTTTAGCACACCACCACCCGTCAGCCTTCAGCAGAGGGGCACTGGCAGCATCAGAGGCAGGCCACGTCACCTGCCCGTGCAAGGGGCACACAGCATGAGCAGTGCTGTTCACCACCAGCATTTCAAACAGAATAAATATGGAAACTCAACACACAGGAATAAGCACAACCCTTTGTTTACACATACTGTGACCAAGCAAGTGCTCTGACAGATGACAGCACTGTAGTTGTCTGCCACGATTCCAGGGATGGAATAGGGAATTCATGACAGACATTTACCTGCCAGTTCAGCTCTAAGGTCATATGGAACGTCTCAAAGGACAAAGGGCAGCAGAACGATTCCTCGCTGCATTAAAACAGGCAAGAAACATTTAATTTGGTTTACAGGGAGGTTCTCCAAACAATGTCTTCTCACGCATTTAAATCCACAGGTCATGGGTTAAACATCAGTTCATCAGCAGTGCAGGTCGTACACCTATCTTGGCAATGCAAATGGAAACTCATGAGGCAGAAGCCTTTCCCCTCCTCTGGCTTTCCTGCAAAGGAGTCCTCTCCCCACAGTGCAGGATATCCAAGTATTTATTTTCAGAAAATAGCAACTAAATAGTACAAAGAACATCTCCCCTGCACAAAACCAAGACAATCAAATTTACTGTGTAAACACAAAGTGGTGTCAATAATGGTGCATGCTATTTTTCTACAATCCAAAAATGAATTATTACACACAGAACAGTCCAGCTGTTAAAATTAAACAAAGCAGACAACCCCAGTAAACAGAGATGTGTAGAAAGCAACATCAGTAAAAAGAAGGAAGTAATGCAGGCACATAAACAAGCGTGGTGAAGCTGCCCTGTAAGGTCACATGAACTGGAACCTAAAATCAACACACCCTGTGCCCTCACACAGACTCATCACACACACTGCTGGAAAGCTGGAGAGGAGCCGACAGCCCAGGAGCCACTGTCAGCCTGGGCTGCCCCCCAGCAGCGTGGGCAGCAGGGCAGGGAGGGGATCCTGCCCCTCTGCCAGCTCTGTGAGCCCCCCCTGCAGTGCTGGGGCAGCTCTGGAGTCCTCAGCACAGCAGAGCCAGGGAGCTGCTGGAGCGGGGCCAGAGGGGCCCCAGCACTGCCCCACCAGCTGATCAGCCTGGAGATGAGAAGGCTCCAGGGAGACCTTCCTTACTGAGGCCTTTCAGTGCTTAGAGGGGGCTTCTAAGAAAGCTGAAGACAGACTCCTTACCAAGGCCTGTAGTGACAGGACAACAGTTTTAAACTGAGAGAGGGTATATTTAGATTGGATATTAAGAAAAGACTCTTTACTGTGAGGGTGGCAGGACACTGGAACAGGTTGCCCAGAAAGGCTGTGGATGCTCCATCCCTGGCAGTGTTTCAAGGCCCTGTTGGATGGGGCTTTGAGCAACCTGGTCTAGTGGAAGATGTCCCTGCCCAAGGCAGGAGAGTTGGAACTAGATGATCTCTGAAGGTCCCTTTCAACCCAGACACATGACTACGAGCTGGTTAACAAAAAATTGACAATAAAGAGTGGGAACTATTACAAGTATTAAGTGTTGTCCTATCAGCTAAATCTCTACATAGCAGGGTAAAGCTTAACTAGAAATCCCTTCACGTATTTATTTCAGTAGAATTTGATACAACCACATTCAGGGTGCCACTCTCTTTTCTGCAAAGTGCTACAGAAAAGGCAAGTTGAAAGTGTGCATGCCCAGCAGGAAACTTTGCCACGCTCACTTCATCTCGCTGCCTATTTCCATCATGTGTAAGGAAGATAATATAGACTCCACAAAGTCCTAGTAAAGACACTCCTTCCAAATGTGTACCTATGTTCTGTGTACAGATTCACTGAGTAACCATGTGCTCTTACTAATAAAATCTGTTCTTCTAAATTTTTGCTCTAGAAGGATATAAATCAAGATATTAAGCGTCAGGCTCTTGGGGAAAAGACCACAGACTCCTCTGGATATACGTCTGGTTGTATCTGGGTTACTTAATATTTGCCAAAGCAATCACTAAAGACAAAACTGAAAAATGAATCCCACAGTTTTCAGAAGAGATGAGCAGTTTGTGTCTTGAGAAGTACTCTCTGAACAACAAAGCTTAAAAATAATAAAACCCCCCCACATCTACATCTCAATGGCAAAATCCAAGTGATCCTCTCAAGATTACCATCACCCCAGAGTGAAGGATGTGTGGACAGACAGAATTAAATTCCAAGAATTTGTAACCAAGAAGTATCAGCAGAAGCAGGATAGTAGGAGTAGCCTGGTGGAAACACTGTGCTTGGTCATGCAGGACAGCTGGGATGGTTTCTTGCCCTTGGTCTCACATACCAAGATGAGAACATAAATGCTTGCTTGACCAGATCAATTACTTCATCTACAATTAAAAGTAAAAACTACACCCATGCCAGAAGTTTGCTGCCTTTCATATCTTAGTTGTGTAACTAGGATTCAGATTCAGTAGTCTGAAGGTGTAAATGCATTTATAAGCGTGGAATTTTGGAACAAATGGTTCTCTTCATGACAATTCTCATTTGTCTGTTGGATAATATCCATACCATTGTGTTGTTCACAGTCAACACAAAGCCTCAGTGGAATTAGCTGCATGCTACAACCACATCCCAATAGCAGAGCATTTACTTACTCCTGGTTCTACTTGAGTTCTATCCGCAATGTCAATATGGACAATTTCAACACTCTTCCATGTGTTTGGATCTAAATTGTGCACCTGCAAAAAAAAAAAAAAAAGAAAAAGGAATTATTTCCATTCAGTCACCTGACACAGTGGTGCACCTTACCCCGTGGATTTTTTCAGGACTTGATAAAGGCAGTGTTCTCCAAACCTAGCCTTTCCTCCTCTGTCCTTCTGAACGGCAATAATCTCCACACTTACAGTTTAATTCACTTACCAACCAATTTTAAATCAGCACAAAGACTTCACTTCTTGTGCATTCAGGAAAGCCAGATTTAAGATTAAGCTGTATCCTCCTGTTACAGTTTATAGTGCTAATGAAATCAAGCTCTAATTAGAAACATTACCCATTCAGTAATCTGCGTGAGCTCTTTGATCTGGAAATAAGCTGCACAAACTCCAAAGCCTGAAAATATGGCAGGTTTCAATAGCCTGACCCAATCTAGTAGGTTCTCTAAATCACAAGGCTGCCTTTAATATAGGCCAGGTGAAGTGTGTGTGGTATGAAGGTAATAAAGGCCTGTAGATGTCATCAGCTTCACACCTGCAATCTGTCAGGCACCTTGAACTTAAAATTACAGCAAGCAGAGCTGGCCAAGAAATATTCCCCTTCTCCAAACAGTGAAAATACACTCACACCTACTCCTTGGTAGATGGTTTATAAATGTGTTTGTCAGTATAGACAAAAAAAAAAAAATCTCCTGAAGAGACCTGTGAAGCAAATCAACTGTCTAGGGAGGGAAATGAGAGTATTGCCAGCCTGCAAAATTTACAGAAGCAGCTTCAACACATAACTCCGCAGAAGTGCAGACAGATGAACTCCAACAGCAACTAAAACCTATTTCCAAACAAACTTGTCAGTCTAAGTAGCACTAGCATGTCTCAAGCAAAGGAACATGAAATAAAAAAAAAAAATTACTGAAAATCTATTTCAGCATTTAAGTGAGAATCAAGCATCTGCATTGACCTCCACATTAAAAATAAACCCCTCCTCTTGTTCTTACACCTCACTGGGTGAGACACCTTGACCACCTTAGAAGGATTTGAATAATGCTTTTCTTGTTTTACATTAAACACTGGCAGGGCTTTGACTTTACCCAGTAGGTACAGAATACCTTATTTGGATGACTATGTGTTGAAAATATTAGTAATGCTTGGTATCCAAACCCCAACTCACGTTCTCTGTTGACCCCAAATCTGGTTTATGCCAGGTCTCAATTTTTATGAAGAAGTCATCTTTCATGTATTCATTCTGCAAGAATAAAAATCAAAGAGCATGAGTTTGATTACCCCTTTCTGCTCAAAGTTTATGGATGTGATATTTACATATAAGTGACTACTACACCTGTATTAGCAACACACTCCAGTTCAGCTGTGGAGGACACAGGAGTGTGTACAGAGAGGTGACTAGCACCAAAACCTCAAGTATCAGCTGTGGCAGGAAGCACTACATCAAAACTGGGTATCTCTGAGAAACCCAACACCAGCTTTGTGCACACAAACAGAAATAACACTGTTATTTACCACCCTTCTTCCTCAGCCCTGAAATTCTTTACCTCTATGTTCGAGTGACTTCCAGATCATTAATACTGCCCTTAAGACAAAACAACTAAAATACATTTCCATGAAATTTTAAATCAGTGAGACTATTCTGAGAGGCAGGGGTAATAACTAGCAAACAGTAGATGTTACTGTATAGTACAGCTATGATCATCATGGTCCAGACAGCACTCAATTTTATGTCTAAAACATTGCACAGAATGCTTCCAATTTTAGGAGAACACACACCCCAGTGTGCACATGTAACATGATGAGTCAAACTAAACACTCCACAAACTCCTTATGCTGCATCCACCTCCTGACAACCTAAACCAAGTTTTCAAGAAAGCAGATAAAGCAACTTAACATTATACGTATAAGTGTCCTTAAAGAGGCCATCAAAATATACACACAGGGAAAAAAAGTTGAAACAATTTGTTTCCCATGCCTCTTAAATAAAAAATGCAGCTCCCCAGCTATGATGATCCATTTCTGTTCTCAGTTAGCTTATTCTAACTGAGGCAGGATTTCACCTTACAAAAATGGGATTTCAGACAGTTAGGGATTGCCTGAAATTTTCATCTCTCTTCCTGCATTCAAGGCTGTAGAAATGTCTCATTTGGCTCTTCCCCCCCCTTTTTTTTAGTGTTATGTCTTATCAGGACAGACATTATGCAGCTGTAATGGTAAATAAAGGCACAGAAGATGACGTAGAAAATTAAAGCATTTCTACTGACAAATTGCAGTTCTTTCTAATTATAGCCATGTGCAGACAAATAAAGTATCAAGGAGCTCTATGCCAGGAACCCAGGCAGGGCACACACAAATGTTTGAGCTAGCTTGCCAGAGTCAGAGCCAACTGCAGCAGTAACAACAGGTAAAATACATTTCAAAAAGCCCAGCCCAGGACTGGTAACAATTCAAATACTCACAGTCACAACTGGCCGTTGGAAATGGCACGCATTGGAAAGGAAAAGGAAACACAGTGTTATTAGATACAATTGTTGCTGAAAAGTCTCAGATACAATGATTGCTTTGAAGTATAAGAAACATTTTAAATTAGTCTAACAGTATTTGTGTGCATCAAGTCAGCAGAGTTCAGCA